GAAGATTAGAAAGAATTAGAATTGCTGAAGAAAAAAGGAGATCTCAGCATGGGGAAGAGGAAAAGGAATTATCATGACATTGTTCAGGAGATAGCACAGTGTTCAGCAGCACATAGTAGGCACTGAACAAATAAAATGAATTAAACTGCTCCACTTGCAACTAGAAGCTCTTTCTAAAAAAAAAAAAAAAAAAAAAAAAAAAAAAAAAAAAGCAGGGACTGTGTACCTGGACAGGCTGAGTTCAGACCACCACCCTCCAATTAATTTGGCATTTTCTCTAAGTCATTTGATCTCTCTGAGCCTTTCTTCCCCAGATTTTTTTAAAAGGATAATAAAACCATTTAGAGAATTGTTATGAGAACTAACAAGGTGCATAACACATTGTAGCTGATAAAATGCCATGTGTCCACCAAAGAGATTTATTTTCCTCCTAGGCACACAGTTGCCACAAGAAACCAGGAGTCTGAATTCTGGTCAATAGAATGTGGGCAGAAGTGAGGCATGCCACTTCCAGCCTTGGCCCCTAAACTTCCCAAACAATATTGCACACTTTTCTCTTGCCCCCGTCAATGAGGCTGAAAGTGAAAGAATCCAGGAAAGTAAAGTTAGAAAAGATCTGTTCCCAAGAGCCACTTGGTCTACCACTGGCTATGGTGGTTGAGAAATAATTTTGTTGTTTAATCCACTGGGATTTGAAGGTTGTGTGCTCCAACAGCAAGCACTTTACTTCAACTAATACACACATATAAAGTACTTGGTAAATGTTGGCCATTATTGTTAATCATATTTTTATATCACTCTTTAGTTCACAAGTACTTTTTACTTCTTCATGTAATTGATTCTCACAGTGCACTTGTAAATGAGTATGGAGAACAGAGAATACTGTCCCATTTTATAAATGAGGAATCTGAGATCAAAACACACAGTGAATGGAGGTGCCCACTAATTACACACAAGCAAGGAAGTCACATGACCAAGACAAAAACCATTATACTTTAACTGAAGACCCCTCTTACTCTGCCTGAATCTGAACATTTGTTCTGCTGGGTCACATGAGCAGATCTAGCCCCACTGGGACCTTTCTGGTCCACAAAGCAACAGTGCCAGGTAGAAACACAAATTTCTTAGGGTCAGTAGCAAAACAGAAGAAGTTAGTAATTCCCAACAAGGCTTCAGTGTAAGCAGATAGACTGGGTATCAGATACTAAAGTCAGGTGAGGTAACATCATCATTGATTCAAAAGACCATATGCCACCATGGAAAGAGTGAGATGTGGATTCTAGTTGTAGTTCTACCATTATCTTGCTGAGCAGCCTTTGGCAAGTCACTGTGCCTCTCTGGACTTCAGTTCTGAATCAAAGTCTATATGGCAACATCAGGACTGAGGGATCACACTTTCTCGGAAGGACTGGAGCCCCCTTGGTTGCAGAGTGGTAGAATATCCCACCTCCAGGGGACCTTCTGGTTTCCCCTCAGAGGCCAGCTGAGAGTGAGCCAGCTCCAGTCCCCACCCTCACCCATGCAGCTCCTCATGCTCCAAAATCCCAGGCAAAAGGCATCTGTCACCAAAACAAGTGGCCCGCCTTTCCAGCGAGTAGCAAGAGCTGGGAACTAATGGTGCTTTGTCTAAACAATTGTTTCCAAAAGCAATTCGTTTTCCAGGATGGCTTTTTATTTATTATTATTATGTTGGTTCCCTAATTAGGTTGAGACACAAAAATAATTTCCAATGTACAGATAACAAATGCCTCCATCTAAGGGAATCAGCTGCCCTCAAACTGCCAACCCTGGTGAATCACCACCTGCCAGGGATAGAGGAGCCTCAGAACCAGAGACCATAATGTGGGATCCTAAGAAGAGAGGGTCTTGCAAAAGGTCACACACAAATTAGAGACCAGAGACAACGCACTCTTGACTCTGAGTGTAATGTCTGGCTGATAACTTACTAATATAAATATTATCATTATTGTCATTACTATTGTTATTAGTTTAGAACCAGACAGAGCTAGGCTTCAACTCTGAGTCTCTATTTACTAGTTCTATGCCCCTTTTTAAGCATCAAATTTTTTATCTGCAAAATGGGTAAATAATTTCTTATCATCTCAGGATGATCAAATGAAAAAAACTATGTAAATTGCCAGGCGCTTAGTAAGAAACCTAACATTCTTAATTAACATTTACAAATAAGTAGAAAAAGACCCAGAGGAAAAAAATAGCACTGTGGTTAAGAGCACAGATCTACAGCTGGACTGCAGGTATTTTAACCCAGTTTACCATTTAGGAGCTGTGTGGCCTTAGGCAAGCTACTTACCCTCTAGCACCTCAGTTTCTTCATCCTCCAAATGTGGATGACAATGATTATTATGATAGTGATGATGGTGGTGATAATTCATATGTCATAGGGTTATATGAGAATAGATGCATACAGTAAGTATTATAAAAGTGCTAGCGATTATTAATTCCAATTTTGCCTCACTCCTGCTAGGTCTTGAACTCAAGTTTCAAGCTATGAGTCCTGAGCTCCTCCTGGCCTCTGACAACAGCTGCCTAGGCCATGGGACAGAGTGAGGAGAGAAGGGTCTCCCCAGCTTTCCATCAGCCCTGCCTCAGTTCTGTGCCAGATCTTGCTCTCCCATCTCTTAGTTGTGTGACTTGAGCAAGTCCCCAGGCCTCTGAGTCTCCTCACCTCCTCTGTAAAGGGGGTACAATAATTTTTGCCCTCCCACCTTCCAGGTCACATTGAGGACCTGGTGTGAAAATTCTTTGAACGCTGAGCAGGAGTGAAGCAAAATTGAAATTCATAATCGCTAACACTTTTATAATACTTACTGTATACATCTATTCTCATATAGCCCCATGATAAATGAATTATCACCACCACAATCCCTATCATAATCATCATTATAATCCGCATTTGGAAGATGGAGAAACCGAGGTGCTAGATGGTAAAATATGCTAGTGGCTGAAAGTGGACCTCCGTTTTACGAGCCACATGAACCAATGTGATGAGTGAGAGCAGATAACTGCATGGCTAGCTCCGGAGGTGGGCAGGAAAAGCAAAGGGTGATAACTTTAACTGAATTGATTTCACCTGTAGGGCCATTAACTTAATGCCTCCCACTTGGTTCGGAGCAAAGCCAAGCCTGGCTACAGCTACTTGCGCCTATTGCCTCTGCTGCACAGATTAGCGAGAAGGGAGCCACAGAGGAGGAGGCCAGTCAGGGTCAGGACTCGGGTAAGATGAGCAAGGTGCCTAGGGCACAAAATTTAAGGAGGCTCCCACCCTCCAGATTGTGCAAGTGCCTCCTTGTTTCCTCACTTGCCTTACCCTACCCCTGACCCTGAGATGAAAATAGGCCCCAGCCTGGGGATCAGGACTCCTGTGTTGAGGTCCTGGTTCTGCTACTTGCAGGCAATTATGGAACTGGATTTACCTCCTCCCAAAAATAGAGGTGTGTATCCCTACATTCAAGAGTGATGTGAGGACTAGATGAGAGGTGCTGAGCTCACACAGTAATGGCAGCCTTTAGTGACCACCTGCTCTGCAGATAAGGTGATATGCTCTCTACCTGTTCTCAACGTCAAGGTGGGCTGTGCTCACCAGCCTCCCCTTTATCCCCACTTCATAGCCCAACCTGCTTGTTCACTCTCAGCCCAGGCCTCACACCCCCACATAGCCTGCTCTTACCTTCTCTCCAGGCCACGGGGACCCTCCTCTTCTCTTCCCTGCCTGTCCCAGTCTTCTACCTTTCCTCCTCTAATCACCAAGCTCCTCCTTGCATCCCTGCCCATTAGCTCCATAGGACACACATGAGCTGCTCTTGCCCGGGAACTATTTTCTGTGTTCTGGCCTCAGATATCCAGCAAGAAGGGTGTTATGGACTTAATTGTGTCCCCCTAGAATTCATTTGTTGAAGCTGTAACCCCCAATGTGACTTTATTTAGAAATAGGACCTTTAAGGAGCTAATTAAGGTTAAATGAGGTCATGAGGATAGCGCCCTAATTCAATAGGACTAGTATCCTTATAAAAAGAGGAAGAGATGCCAGGAGTGTGCACCCAGAGAGAAAAGGCCCTGTGGGGACACAGCCAGAAGGTGCCCATCTACAAACCAGGAAGAGAGGTCTCATCAGAAACCAACCCTGATGGCCTCTCCATTTTGGACTTGCAGCCTCCTGAACTGTGAGAAAATTAAGTTCTGTGGTTGAAGCCTGTGGTATTCTGTTATGGCAGCCTGTGCAGGCTGATACAAAGGGCCTCTTTCACATTTCACATGTGATCTTGGATGGTCATTTCCTTTCTCCAAGACTCTTTCTATAACTGAGAACAGGAGTTAGCATGGCTGGGGGCAAATTAGGAATGTTCTCACAGAGAAGGTGAGGCTCAAAACCAACCAGATGCTGGCAGGAAGGGTGAATTCTTTGCTGGGTGATTTTCTACCAGCAAGGCCACAAACGCCTGGAAGAGCTGAACTGCACTGCCAGAGAAGAAGCTATGCGTGATAAGCCTGAATGGCAGGGCCAGGTGGTGGGGGTCCTGCTAAGCCATGCAAAGGGCTGTCTCCTTTCTGAGGGCAGAAAGGAGCCACTGAAGAGTTTTGAAGAAGAGAGTGACATGGTCTGTGCCTTAGAAGGGCCACTCTGCCTGCTATGTGGGACCTGGATTGGAAAAGCAGGGAGGAAGATGACTGGAAAGCCCAACAAGGGGTACTGCAGGAGGAGGGGCATGTGAATTACATCAGGAGACAGAATGGATGGGATGTGCTTGTCTGGATGGGGTCAGGGAGGTTAGGGATGTTGTGTCCCATTCCCTACTCATGCAGTGGCTTGGTGGGCTGGACTGGGGTAGAGAGCGGCCTATGGACGAGAAAGTACTTTCTACATTGAGGGGTTGAGGGGGAGCTGTTTTCCACCCCAGCACAAACAAAATGCTAGGTACATGATAGATGCTTGAAAAATATTGGCTTGACCAAGAAGCAGCTTATCTGCTCCTTCTGGAATCTCTGCCTGGTTCAGCCCACCTGCCTCCCCTCCTGCCTCCACCATGTCCATCAAGGTGACCCAGAAGTCCTGCAAGGTGTCCATCTCTGGACCCCAGACCTTCAGCAGTTGCTCCTATATGAGTGGGCCTGATACCCACATCAGCTCCTCAAGCTTCTCCTGAGTGTGCAGCAACAGCAGCTTCGGGGTGGCCTGGGCAGAGGCTATGGTGGGGCCAGTGGCATGGGAGGCATCACCACCATCATGGTCAACCAGAGCCTGCTAAGCCCCCTTAACCTGGAGTTGGACCCCAACATCCAGGCCATGCGCACCCAGGAGAAGGAGTAGATCAAGACCCTCAACAACAAGTTTGCCTCCTTCATAGACAAAGTACGGTTCCTGGGGCAGCAGAACAAGATGCTGGAGACCAAGTGGAGCCTCCTGCAGCAGCAGAAGATGGCTCAGAGCAACATAGACAAGATGTTTGAGAGCTACATCAACAAACTTCAGTGGTAGCTGGAGACTCTGGGCTAGAAGAAGCTGAAGCTGGAGGCAGAGCTTGGCAACATGCAGGGACTGGAGAAAAAGTATGAGGATGAGATCAATAAGCATACAGAGATGGAGAATGAATTTGTCCTCATCAAGAAGGATGTGGATGAAGCTTACATGAACAAGGTGGAGCTGGAGTCTCACCTGGAAGGGCTGACTGACATGATCAACTTCCTCAGGCAGCTGCATGAAGAGGAGACCCGGGAGCTGCAGTCCCAGATCTCAGATGTGTCTGTGGTGCTGTCCATGGACAACAGCGCTCCCTGGACATGGACAGCATCATTGCTGTACAAGGAGATTGCCAACCACAGCTGGGCTGAGGCTGAGAATATGTACCACATCAAGTATGAGGAGCTGCAGACGCAGGCTAGGAAGCACGGGGATGACTTGCAGCATGCAAAGATAGATCTCCGAAATGAACCGGAATATCAGCCCACTCCAGGCTGAGATTGAGGAACTCACAGGACAGAGGGCTTCCCTGGAGGCTACCATCACAGATGCCGAGCAGCGTGGGGAGCTGACCATTAAGGATGCCAATGCCAAGCTATCTGAGCTGGAGGCCACCCTGCAGCAGGCCAAGCAGGACATGGCACAGCAGCTGTGTGAGTACCAGGAGCTGATGAACGTCAAACTGGCCCTGGACATTGAGATCGCCACCTACAGGAAGCTGCTGGAGAGCAAGGAAAGCCGGCTGGAGTCTGGGATGCAGAACATGAGTATCCATATGAAGACCACCAGCAACTATGGAGGTGGGCTGAGTTCGGTCTATGGAGGCATTCACAAGCCCCAGCCTCGGCTACGGCCTGGCCTGCAGCTGTGGCTCTGGCATGGGCTCCAGCTCCTTCAGCCACACCAGCTCCACCAGAGCCATAGTTGTGAAGGAGATCGAGACTTGAGATGGGAAGCTGGTATTCGAGTCCTCTGACGTCCTGCCCAAGTGAACAGCTGCAGCAGCCCCTCCCAGCCTGCCCCTCCTGCAGCTGCCCCAGAGCAGGGAGGGAGGCCGCTGTGCAGGGGAGCACAGGGAACAGGAGACCCACCTGAGGCTCAGCCCTAGCCCTTAGCCCGCCCGGGGAAGTTTACTGCCTGGGGACCCCTACTTGCCCATGCCTCCCGCTATAAAACAATTCAATTGCTTTTTTTGGTTTTTGTTGTTGTTGTTTTATCCAAAATAAAACCTCAGCTAGCTCTGCCAAAAAAAAATACATATATATTGGCTCAATAAATAAATATGAAGAAATGAAATATTAAGGTTACCACCTTGGTCACACTCTTGGTCTAAAATGGAATCTCAGCTCCCAATAATGAAGCTGGCAATCCCTTCAATTACCTCTTTGACCTTTCAACCAGCCATACCCCAGCAGGACCAGAACCAGAACTCAGATCCTCCTACTCAGGGAACATTTGCTACGGGACTGATGCTTTCCCACTCAGTTCCTCATTTAATTCCTGCAATGACTGTCTGAGGGAGAGGAGATCAGCCCCACTTTAGAGATGAGGAAACGGGCTCCAAGAGGCTCAACAGCTGGTTCCAGGCCACCTTCCTTCACTCCATCCCATGATTTCTTGTTTCCCTGAAGGCTGTGAACTCTTCACCTTTGATAGAGAACAAGAACAAATTCCTGGAAGTCCTCTGCTGCACCATTTGGCTGGAAAATATTTCTTTAAAAAGATATCCTGTCATCTTCTCCCTTTTTCTTCATATTTCAGAGTCTCGGGTTACAGCTCTTAACTTAATCTGCTGGAAAATATAGCCTAGCCATGTATCCTGTCACTCTGATCTGAGGCACAGCTCTCAACCACAAATTATTTCCACTTCTCATTAAGAATATCCATTCATCACTTCCTATCCGGAGCCCAGTTATTCCTCCTTGAAACATATAATTAGAATAAAATTAAAAATTCAGAGTGTCAGAATATTTCCTGGCCTGACCCCTTATTGTCACATGGGGAAACTGAGGCCCAGAGAGGAAAACAGGCCAGCCCAGAATCACATAGCCACTCCATGGACTTAAACCCCCATCTCCTGACTCCCCCTCCCACTCTCCTCCTATAGTCTTTGTATACTGTAAATGAAATTTAAAAACTACATGCAGGTCACTCTTGTCAGTTTGCTGTTTTGTTTGAGATGGATTCTACGTGGTTTCATTATCAAGGTTCTGAGCTGCCCACTGGGCTCTTCCTTCACTCACTTGCTTCTAAAAGGGAAAGAACCATGCAGCAGAAATACACACTAACACGGTGGTGTAAAGACCCCATAGAACAAGAAAAGGTGAGCAGAAAGGGATTTGGGGCAGTTGAAAAAAGGTGGGAGCCAAAGAGCAAAGAAACAAATGTTCCCCTATTTTGAACATCTACTCATCTCAGACACTGCGTTACACAAGGTGCGCTCATGTTCTTGTTTAATCCTCGTGTTGACCCTATGAGGAGATTATTAAGACCCCCATCTTTAAGATGAGCAGATTGAGGCTCAGGGAGATTAAAGTAACTTGTCCAAGGTAACTTGACAATGGGGTGGAAGGAATCAGTCTGTTTAACCCCAAGTCCAGCACTCAGTCTGTTATACCCGGCTCTCCCTGATGCATAGATTATGTGCCCTTGGGTAGTTCTTTTCCCTCCGTAGCCCTCAGTGACCCCATCTAGAAAATGAAACAAGTATAGCTTCATCATTGGAGAGAACCAAGAAAACAGAACAGTAGAGACACTGTTAGAAAGAGGCAAAGGGAGCATTGAGCCTCTCTGCCAACTGAAACCATTAACAGAAAACTCTGCTGATCAGAGCAGAGGTGGGTTTGTGCACATATCCCCTGCCATCCCCACCCTACCTCCCAGGTGTCCACTTTAATCTGACTCGACCTCTCCCAGGTTGCTCCTTGGCTCTTTAGAATGTCCCCCCCCAACCCCCCAACCAAGGGTAGGGCCTCTGCTGGGTTTCCTCTTCCCTTCCCTTGGCTCTGAAACTTTTGAGGCCCTCCCTTAATGCCAGCCCAGCAAGAGGCTCACAACCTCCCTTCGTGCCAGGGAGGCCAGGACAGGGAAGGGAAAGGGGCAGGGAAGAGTCCCTCCCAAAATGCCCTGTGAGCAGAGCCGAGTAATGACCATACTAGGTACTGCAATTTCACAGTCATTCAAGTATGTGTGAGGCCCTATGCAGGGACAGAGAAAAACAAAACTGCAAAAGCAAGAGCATTAATCTATTGAGCCTCAGTTGCCTTATTTGTAAAATGGGCACAGTGTTCCTCATTTAATCCACACACAACCCTATGAGGTATGTGTAATTGTTAACACCCCATGAAAGTTCTGCCAAATTCATAGGAAGTGCTCAGTGCAGTTGTATTACACAAAAGCACAATCCCTGCCCTCAAAGAGCTCCCACCTTCGTGAGGAGGGTGTGTACCCAAGAAACAATGTTTGCTACCATTCGTTAAACAACTCTTTCCAGGCACTCAATCTGTGGTATTTCTAACCTTCATAGAATCCTGTAAGACAAGTACTAGCATCTTCCCTTTGGCACCGAGGAAACTCAGGCCCCTAAAAACTTCCTTTGGGTCACTCAACTAGGATTCCAAATATTAACACCTCCTTTTCAGACCACTCGTTACAAAGTAGAAATCAAGAATCTCCGGAGTTGACGTCCAGGCGAAAGTCTGTATTATTCATCATTAGCTCCTTTGCCGGCCTGAGATTGGGACACTAGAAGAAATCAAGCCAGGAGGAAGTCCCAGTCAGCCAGCTAGGGGCTGGCCCAGAACTGTAAAGGCCTCCAAGGCAAGTGGACAGCCACACTGGAGAGTGCCCACTTCATGGAGTTTTTAGAAGAAGCCATTTGGAAGGGCTAAGCTTGCCCCCTACTGAGCCTCTGAGAGGGTCTGGCAAGACCTACAAAGAGGCTGGGGCCATACCCAGGTGGCAGAGAATTAGGCCTCACCTGGTGACTGTGAAGATGGAGAGGAAGGGATGGTCTGTCAACAAGCATCCACAGGACTATCCATGTCTTCAACCCTTTGGGATATGAGGAAAATGCCTGAAGCCCCGCCCTCCTGGAACCTTCACTCCTCTCTGTGGGAGGGGCCCTAAATACAGGAGAAGGGAATAAATTATTCTTCATAACAACCCCATAATGCAAAAGTGATCGTCAATCCTGATTTTCAGATGGGGAAACAAGGCTCTAAGAGGGGAAGCAATTTGCTGCAAGTCACACAGATAATGACGCTCAGCCCCTCTAGTGTTTGCCCCTCTGAGCCACGTCACTCATCCCCTCCTTATCCACTTTCTCTTGTTTTTATAAAAGGAGAGGAAGGAACATATGGACCTTCACTGTGGTGTTCCTATAGGCTGGCTGCATGAGATGCACTCCTAAAGATTTTTAAACATACTGATCCCCAGATCCTGCCCACGAAGATAATGATTCAGATGGTTTGGACAGAGCCTCAAACTTAAATAAGTTCTGAAATAATTTCCAATTTTCAGTGGTGGCTAAAAGCAAGAGGACTCCCTTGAAATATTCCTTGTTTCCTACCCTAGCCCAAGGCCAGTGAGTAGCATGAAAAGGTCATTTCCCATAGCATGAGTTGAGAGTGACACTTCGTATCTTCCATGCATGCATTTTTCTCAAAGTCTATAAGAATTAAGATTTATTTATTCTCTGCCTTACTAATTCTAAGAGACCAAGTTCTATGATTCTGCGATTTTGTCCATTGGTCTGGCTAAGCAGGGGATGGTGTGGACTCTGCAGTTTCTTGCTAAAGAGTAAAGAGGAGACAGGCAGAACAGGCCTGGGGGCATTGAAAAAAAAGGCCTTGCCCACTGTATATCATTTGGGCAGCCTATAACACAGAGGCTAGCAGATTGTAAGTGGTCAATGAGTACTTCTTAAGTGAATAATGTATTTATTACAGTTACAAATGCCAGAAGACCAGTTGAAACTTGGCTAGACTTCAAGGAGAAGGAGGCTAGGCACAGTGGCTCACACTTGTAATCTCAGTACTTTGGGAGGCCGAGCCAGGAGGATCGCTTCAGCCCAGGAGTTCAAGACCAGCCTGTGCAACATAGTGACACCCTATCTCTACCAAAAAAAAAAAAAAAAAAAGTAAATTAAAAATAAATTTAAAAGCAGAAGAATACTGAAGTATCTCCTATGACTGAGGTGCAGCTGGGCCTCAGAAATGACAGAAGCCAGGGCCTCAAGTGCCCCAGGCCTCTGTGTGCATCTTGATCTTTCTGCATGCCAGCATCATTCCATCCAAGGCAGGAGCAGTATTCCCCCGTACGGCACGAAATGAAACCACCTACACCTCTCGAGCTTCATATGCAACAACTCCCATCATCAGACAGACCTAGGACTTTCTTCCCTTCATTCCAGTTTGAAAATTCCCAAGGAAGCCCCCTGATCAGTCCAGCTGAGTTAGGGTTGCACTTCTGGCCAGGTGGACGGGATTAATTAAAGTCAAGGTCAAGCTCATTGCTCAGAATCAGAGTCCTCATCTTTGGACAGCTGCTTCTCTGGGCTGGTGCACCTCTTAGCCCAGAACCTGGGGCAGGAGACTGGCTAGCTAGTCACCAAATACATTTCACCTTCCTTTTGGGAACACATATAAACTATATTCTGCAGACTCCCATGCAGATGTCCATATGTTAAGTTCTATCCAGTGAAATGGAGGAAGTGATGAGTGGAATGTCTAACCTTGGCCCATAAAAACTTCTTGCATCACCCCGTATGCTCTTTCCCCACTCACGGGCTAGATGTCAGTGCCCAGTGTGACCCTGGAAGCCACATGGACAATGAAAGAGCTTCCATTAGCCTGTGTTACTGAATAATGGTGAGGCGCAGAGTACCCTTCCTCCTCCACTGCCACTGATTGAACTTCATGTGAATGAGAAATTAATATCTATTACACTAAGCTATTCACCTTTTAGAGTTTTATCTGTTACAGTAGCTGGTGTTAAGTAGAAACCAAGGTCTTGGTTATTCCCAACTCCTTCAGGGACTTCAAAAGAGCTTTGCTATGTCTCTCTGTTCCCTCTGCTCCATTCTCCTATCCAATGTCACCCACCTTTTAAGACCAGCTCCAATCTCTCCTCCTTCATAGACACCCCACACTACAGGCTAAAATAGACCCTCCTCTCTCTGCCCTGTGACATAGCTAACATTTACTGAGTGCCGACCATGTGCTAGGCTCTGTAGTAAGCCACCACAACCATTA